GGAGAACAGGACGCCCTATAAAACGGCGTGCGCCGTGAAGTAAGTATGTGTTGTCATTGGTTTTGGGGGGGGGAAGAAGGGTCGCGCTTACGAGTGATATCCAAACATGTATTCCTCGATTTGTTAGAAATTTATGCATCACGGTCCCTTCTGGTGGGAACATGTTCGGATACTTCTTTGTCTTTTGCGTTTCGATTTCTTTGGCTGATAATGGCGGGCCGGGATAGTTTCTTGGCTGGGCGTTTGGCGAGAGTACTCTTCGGGCTGGGTGGGATGGTGGTCGGAATTTATCTGGCTTTTCGAGGACGCGGGGTTTTTGGGAGGATGTGGAGGCGCAACGGTGGGAGTTGTATGGTTTCGTGGAGGTGCGGGAGAAGAGGGGCGTGGAGGGTGGAGATGGGCGTGTGGTTTTGGATATCGCGCGAGGGAGAAGGAAGGATGGGGTTGACGTTGTGAATGCCATTGTGATGGGTATTTGGCAAGATTAGATGTACAGCTGGAGTTGGGAGTGCTCGACGTCGTCGTCTTCTCCTTGACTGCTTGTTTTCTTCGTGGAGGAAGAACAGTAATGATGGTGAGGTTTGCGGAAACGAATTGGCCAATCAGATGCGATCTTCATGGTGAAGCTTTGGCCAACCAGATGAAATGACTAAGCAGACGGAAATATATCGGCCCGAGTAACTACAGCGTAACTACAGCTTCAACGATGACGGACTACTTTGGTACAGCGCGAGGACAACGAGACAGGCCAAATCTCTTCGGTTCAAACTATTATACGTTTTCTGAAAGATGGACTTGGAAAAAGGGGGCAAAATTCACTTCCACGGGGAAAGAAACCTATAGAATATAGGCATTCGCCGAGGTGTTCCAGAAGAATCGAAGCAATTTGCGAAAACATTACATTTCCCCCAACGTCATCCATATCCCTTTCAACCACGCCAATCATCCTGTCACAGAACGGTTCTTTCCGGCTGGGAGGTTTAGAAACGCAGCTTCTTAACCGCATGGCTTGGGGTGAGGTCCCTTGCAGCTGTCTCTCGGCCCATAGTGACAGCACTTGGTTCCATCACAATGGAAAACGTCTTCATACGAGGCACCACCAGCGATCTCGATGGCAGGACAATTTCCACAATAAACTCCGGCCTTGGTTCCCGGCTTGCACCTACACCCATTGTACGTGCAAGACCTCGCAATGAGCGGGGCTTCAGGAAAAGCGTTGGCAAGGGCTTCAGCTTCAGCAAGAGGGCTGCCGACCACTGACACGACCTGCGCGGTGGCGACAATAGCGGCGATGCAGGCGGCAACTGAACGCATTTCGACGGACTGCCGTTCGTACTTGTTTGGAATGTGCAACTGAGAGAAGAATCTATGTGAAGGTAGGGTGTTAGCACTATTGAATGGTCAGTTTGAAAGAACTTTATGCCATACAAAAGTAGCTCGTTAGGGGCTATATGAGGCTAGGTCAGTTATATTCGAAGTGGTGAAAGACAGGAGCTCGGAATTCTTGCTGGGAATGCTTTGCCCCTTATATATCGACCTATCTGCTCTAGTGGCGCTATGACAGGGATTGTTGACAAACAACGTCAGAATGGCCACTACATAGTAGACCCTCGATGAGTCGATGAGGGCTTCAAATCGATGTAACCTTTAGCCCCGTGGAATTGTGGGACTCGTATAACGTGCAAGTGACATTGAACGATATGGAGGCAAGAACTGCTCCAGGTTCACGGAGTATCGCGGAGGAAAAGATATGCATTTAACGGGAATGTCATATGATAATGTGGGTGTCTTGGTAATCTCTCTGCACAGTCAAGGCATTCGTCAGGGGAGTTAGGCTTTGAAGAGTACGGCACGCACCAGTACATGGATTCAGAACTCCTCCTACACAGAGGGGGCAGAAGAGCATTAGCTCAATCAGGTATGAGGCTCCGAAATCCCAGGCCAGTCAAGTACCCGGGTTCTGGATACGGGTAGCAAAATATGCACCCCGTATGCAAGAATAAGCAGAACAAGTGCTTAGATCCATATCCACACTTTTACTGCCGCTTGGGCTATACGTGAATGGGGGGCTGCCATGGAAGATGCCAGAGCAGCATGACTAGTAGGTGCTCCTCAACGACGGAAGAACTGGAGATCGGTTGGGCACTAGAGGGATACCGCGGAAGAAAAGAGCCGTTTCGTATTCACTTGCGGAGAAGCGTTCCAGTGTGTTTCTATATAAAAAATAGATGCTCCCTCATATTGGTTCGTATTCACTTGCAAGCAAAAAGTTTAACAGGGAGCAGACATGGGTCCGTCCCGACTCCCGGGAGAAGGCCGTCTCATTATTGCTGGAGCCTTGACCAGCTTAAGCTTTGAACAGCTGTTGAGGAATATCACATTTCACTACTGCAGTATTGCATGTCTTGACTCTTATCACCAACATGACAGCGGATGAGGATGGTCGTCCATCTAGATTTGATGCAAACAAAGCAAACATAGGATGACAACCATCTCTGACTTCCAAGTCATCACAACCTACTGGGAGAGACAGATGAGTGCTTCATCCTGATATTACAATAGTAGCTTTATAATATTGGAACTCAGGCAGGCTGTGATCAGACTATCTATTTCAGCCATCTCCCCGTTCTGGGAATTAAAGATAACAACTTCAGAAGTGAAGAGTACATTGGGCTACTAGTTAGTAGCCAGGAACTCGCTCTGCATCTTAACGACCTTGCAGCTGCTAGTCTCTGCATTATTGACAACTACAGCTGCTGCCTTTGACTGACCACTATCAGTTTTGCTATTGAAGACGAGGAGATAACCCTTTGGTTTCTCGACCACGGGGTCGATCCAAACCAGCACTCTGTCATTGATCTCACGCCCCTATCCTACGCTGTTGAAACGGCCCTTATTCACATCATCAACCGTTTACTAGACCACGGTGGTGACGTGTAAAAGGGACAGCTCCTGCACCACGCTATTGAGCGAAAGATAGGTATTGTAGAGGTACTCGCGTTATTTCTTGAAAGGCGCGCGACCTTGGATTCAAAAATGTATGATTCTCGGGCCTCGGCACTCCTTTGCGCATAGCTGCAGAGCTGGACAAGACGGATGCGGTGAGCTTCTACTTGGGAAAGGTGCAAATACAGATATCAAGGATGCTCGAGACATGACAGCTGGACATTCAACTGTCTAATAACTTGTTGTTATTCCGAATGAAAAGCAGATCTCAGGCTCCAACACCAACCTCAAGGATAGTGTGTAGTGATACCGTACTATGGTAAGTACACAGTAAGGAATCCGCTGGTGTAAAAGGGATCCCGATTCCGCCCGAAACATGTTTATAATCCGCAGTCTGATTGGTTGAAAAACAGTGCCAGCCAATGAAATTGGCCAGAATAGCCTTATGTAAGGATCTTCTGAGTGGGAAATGAACGTGACAATACCGGGTTTTTGCCGTCATTGTGCTGCTTTTTAGCGTCATTTTCAGTGGTTGAAGCAAGGAAAAAAGTTTTTCGTTTCGCTTCTTCACCTTCATCTTCATCTTCACCTTGCTCTCTTTTGATCTCTCGTTGTTCAGCAGAATTGATAACTCAAAAGCAAAGTCTTTCATTTCTTGTCCTCTTGCACTGTGCCTCCAACTTCTGTAACTGCTAGCTAAGCTTCAAAAATGGGCAAGGACGAGTATTCCCCTGGTAAGTTTCTGGTTTCTGCTGATAGGTTGATGTCATTTGGTGAATGGAAGGGAATCTCCTGTTCTTGACTGCTGTCGCTGCATTGCCTATGGGTGTGTCTGCTGGATGTGTTATTCATTCAACTGGTGACTTGGAAGCTTTCCACTCGCAGTCGGTCAGATGATAGACACAAACGACGCTCTGAAATCGTTTGAGATTTCCCTACAACTATCGAACGCAATGAATTATCAGCCATCACGTAGCTAACCGCACTTTCCAACCAGGTGATGCTGCCAAAGGCGCCAACCTCTTCAAGACCCGCTGCGCCCAATGCCATACGTTAGAAAAGGGCGGTCCCAACAAGGTCGGGCCTAACCTGCACGGTCTCTTCGGCCGCAAGACTGGTCAGGTTGAGGGATTCTCCTACACCGATGCCAACAAACAAAAGGGTATTACCTGGGATCACAACACTCTTGTAAGTTAGAATTGGCAGCGCCCCTCCCCGCTGTTCGCTGTGTGGAAGGAGCCTTTTTCTGATCACAGTTTTATTTATATATAGTTTGTCTACCTCGAGAATCCCAAGAAGTACATTCCCGGCACCAAGATGGCCTTTGGTGGTCTCAAAAAGGCCAAGGACCGAAATGACTTGATCACGTATGTTTCTGACTCCTACTGTACCCAATGTGAACATTTTCGAGATCTGACGCCCGTAATCCAGCTACATGGAGCAAGAAACCAAATAAACTTGCTCGAGCGGATCGGATCCATTTGTCAATGTCGCAAATCGCACCCACGAATATGGATGTGATTCCTTCGGCGTTTTACGAAACCCACCTTTTATCTTTTGGAAGGTTACATTTCTCGACAGGCGCAGTACGTCGAATTTGGGGGGAATGTGCCCAGCAGGACGAAAGGTGGCATGTAACAATATAAAGTTTTCAATTTTGTTTTCCTACTGTTGTTCTACGATAGATTTGTGCATTATATCAGTATTGTTTTTTATTCGAGCCAGAGCCAATTCTCCTACTCTGCTTTTTTTCCCCAGAGGATATTGGATTCATTTCAGCCTCAAGGTCTCTTCTAGAGCGGATATACCGGAGTTTTTTTTTTCAGACGGACTTCTTTTTTGATTGTATTATTCACAGCGGGGCGCCATAAGACCCTTAAACAGTAAATACTAATTGATGATTCTCCTCTCAATGAAATACTGGCTTGAAACATGGAAATATCTTCAAGCTTGTTTACACAGTACATACTTTAAAACAAGTTCGTATGAAAACCGTCCTCGGTGAGTAGTGTGTTCCTTGATAAAGCACAATAAGCAAAAATAATTTGCAACTCGGTCTTGTGGTCTAGTGGTATGATTCTCGCTTAGGGCTTTAAACCCTGAGTACAATTGCGAGAGGCCCCGCGTTCGAATCGCGGCAAGACCCTTTCCAATCCTTTTTTTTTTTTCTATTTTCCTTTGTTACAAATATGGAGTTTTTACCTTGTTGTGGGACGGGATAGAAAAGGAAAAGAAACAGTTATAACTAAGTTAATTAGTTAACTATCTTCTGTATATGCATATCTTGTATGTAGTTGCTGCACTTGAGAATGGAATTGAAAGAACTAGAAAAGGAGTAAAAAACCAAAAAGGAAAAAGCTTCGTGGTGAGAAAGATGAACTGCTAGATCGATGTACAACTAGAGCAAAGAAACTATGATAGTAGTTAGTGACTGGCATTTAAAATCACAATCGCCAGGTCCCTGTACCTAATCCTCTGCTCCCCGCCAAAAATCTCTCTTTAAAATCTGACGCCGGTTAAGCAAAGACCACACAACGCTTTCCTACCTTTCCCACCCACCGACCTGTTCTTCAGAAAAAAGAAGCATTATATAATAAAGAGAAAAGGACTCTTTGACGCCAGCCGAAATGTTAAAGTGAAAGCAAAGACAAAGGGGGAAAGTTGTACCCACATTTGGGGAGGTCAAAACAAAGAATGTACTCCGTATCATGGACGGAAAGAGACAGGCAGGCAGGCAACATAGTTACCGCCTCTCAATCTCGTCCACCTTCCCCGAAATACTCTCCAAAAAACTACCCCCGCCCCTCCGATTCCCCGCCCCATACACCATCTCCATCAACTTCGCCTTCTGCTTCTCCCTCACCATGCGCAAGTACTCATATGCGCCTTCTAACCCCCTAATCTGCCCCTCCACCACCATATCGATTCCGCTCGCCGGCGGCAAATTCGCAAGGCTACCTCCCTCATTACTCGCACTTCCAGCGGTGCCCGCAACGCGCGGCAAGTTCAGTGAGTCGTTCCTGCGGAGCAGCGGACTGACAAGTTTCCGTCGGAGAGTCTCGAGGTTGACTTTTAGCGCGAGGAGTTTGCCGCGGTGGTCCATGAGTAAGTGCTTGTTGGCGACGGTGCGCTGGCGCACGCTGCCGAGGAGGCGTTTGTTTTTTTCGTATTTGCGCAGTGCAGCGGCGTTGGGCCCGAGGACGCGTGTCCAGAGGGATGAGAGCATTTCGCCTTCGGCACGCTCCTGGGCGTCGGACTCGCGGACGACGGTGCGCTGGAGGTTGAGGAATTGGTGGTCGATGGATTCAAAGAGGGCGAACAGGGCCGTTGAGTGAGTGAGTTCGGTGTTGATGGCTTCTTCGAGGACGGAGACGAGTTCCGTAAAGGCATAGGAAAGGGTGGATTGAGTGCGCTGGGAGCGGGTGGGGCCGAAGAAAGTGGTTACGATCGCGCCGAGGCGCGTCGGAATGGGAAGGCCGTTGTTGTTGGCCGCGCTAGTCGTGATTGTCGCGTTGCCGTTGGGAGATAATGGAATGGTTTCGAGAGCACCTACGCGCGAGAGAAAAGCATGGAAGTTTTCGAAGAGGACGGAAGATACGGAGTGCGATTGCTGTTGAGAGAGGGATTCGAGCTCGCGCTTGGCCCATTCCATGACGATGAGGATGGAGTCGATGTCTGCGTCGACATTTGCAAAAAACCGAGTCAGTTCGAGGGAGAGAGTCTTGAGAGATTCTGATAGCTCGTCTAGCTCTCGCACGATTATGGGAGCGCTGGTCATGTTCGTCCCTCGAACGGATTCTCCCAAATCCCACACTGCAACACCTGTCTCCTGCAGTGAGCCAATCTGCTGAACGCCATTTTCGGAATAGTATATTAATGGTTCGAAGGATCGCGCAAACGCTGATAATTTCACCAAATCCGGTATATGCAATGGCAGTGGCGGTAAGAAGAGAGCGCGCAAAAATGTGATAGAGAAAAGTGCAACAATTATGGATAATATTGTTGATGATTTCGTCTTTGTGATATCGTCGAACTTTCTACCAAGGAAATTAAAGAATGCGACAAATGGTTCTCGATGCTGCACCTCTGCGCGCACGGCAAATCGAATATCTGAACCGAGTCAGCATGAATTCATGAATAAGCGAGATTGAGACAGAAATGCCGAATGTATTACAATTGGTTATTGACTCATGCACAGGTGCTTTCTCAGCCTGCTCTCCTGCATCATCACCGTCTTCATTGCCACCACCGCCTGTATCTTCCTCTTTGACCTTGGAATTTGGATCAGGACTTGGCGAACGACCTTTTAATGGTGAGTCTGTTCCCGCTGGCAATGGTATACTCGCTGGTAATATTAAGTCACTCGTATCGTTCCCTTGCTGCAGCGGTGGTAGTGGCTTCTCTGGCGCATCCTCGTACTGTGGACTGACATCCCGGGATCCCCCAGGTGTATCCACCGCAGGCGGTCTTAGATCTGGCTGATTGCACATGTACGGTTGCTGTCGATACCAGGCGCTCGCAGAAGTGCTGCCTGGACTACAGTGGTTCATGATCTCTCTTTGTGGAAAAAGGAATCGTTTGTTGAACCCTGGCGGAGACCACGGGTCGCTGACATTCGATGTCGCGTCTAGTATTTCGGCAGTGTCGTCTTCATCGTCATCGGAATCTTCAGCGGCGCCTTGCGATCGGAAGCCAGAGTGTTGTGAAGGCAAAACACCGAAGAGTGGAGTGCGTGGAGAGGGGTGTTCTTCGAAGTCCTCGAGGGAGGCAGAGAGGGAGGGATGGTCGTCAAAGATGTTGTCTAGGTCATCTAGACGCTCTGTAGCCATCATCTTGCTGGCGATGCCTCTTGTCGAGGATGAGCTTGGGTTTCATTGATGGCCCGGCGCGATTGGGTGGATGATGTAGCTGTACGCGCCGGCCGTGAGCAGGTCTCTGACGCGAAGGAGAGCAGTCGCGCGAGGATATCCAAAGGTGTATCGACGACTACGCGTTTATGCGACCTCGTTTCAGGCAGACGTGAGGTAGAAGCAGCCCTCAGTCAATGGATGAGGAAGGCTAGAAGGTTAATCCCACCACTAGCTTTTTTGCGATTTGCGGGCCAGTCAGTAGCCACGGTTCGAGAGCAGTTTTTTTTTCAAGATTTGGTTAATTCAGAGGAATTCGAATCAGTATCAACAGAAAACTTGTCTTCATTCAGCGTGCAATTCATCAATCATCAAGAGATTGCAGAAGTAGATGGATGGATGTATTGCAAGACGTGCAATGAGAGAGAGAGATAGCCTGCCGAGTTAACCAGGATTGCAACACCAATGATGCCTATAAGATCAGTTCACACGTCTGCAAGCTTCACGAATCGAGAGTCAACTGTTGTTCTGACTAGTTAATTAACTGGTTGATATGATAGAGTGAGTGTCCATCGACGTTGACAAGAGAAAGAGAGAGAGTGGTTAACGGTGAATTCAATCATCCTCCCTCCCTCCCTCTCTCTCTCTGCAGGTTCTCGTCAGGTCCCTTTCGTCCCATCTCGAGTGGCTGAGTGGATCCCGCCTTCCCCTCTCGAACTGCCAATTGTCACACCTCAGACTCTCCAGCCAATCACAGGCCCAGCGCAGTGATCCCGTGGTCTGTGGCTGGTCCAATCACCATCCCGCATCAGCCCCATTCGATGACAACGCATACCATGATCTCATCCGAAGTGCCCCTCGTGCGCCAATGCTGCCCTGATATGAAAAGATCAATTATTTAGTTACATAGTAATTGAGACTGCCGTTGATGTCGAAGAACAATTTATTTACTGTCTTGTGGTTATTTCATGATATTGACGAAAATTGGATGGAAAAAGAACTAAAAAGAGAACATTCGGGTCTTGCCGCGATTCGAACGCGGGGCCTCTCGCAAACTTTACTCAGGGTTTAGCCCTAAGCGAGAATCATACCACTAGACCACAAGACCGACTGATTAGAATTTTCTTCAATATCCGAATTTCTACATATATTGGAGAAACAATTTTCCGATCGAACAAAGCAGTCAAATCTTGCATTCAAAGGCAGATACAATGCATCTTTCCATAATGCTCTTCTCTGCGGCATGTCCTGCATTAGAAAGAAAAAACTTCCTTGCCCTCTTGATCACCGCGACTCTGCAAAAAGTTCACAGACAAAACACAAAAATGAAAGGGGCCCTGCCGCGATTCGAACGCGGGGCCTCTCGCAGTCTGAGAGTGAACCCAAAGCGAGAATCATACCACTAGACCACAAGGCCGCACTTCTGTTCATCTCTACATTTATTTCTATAAGTAACTATGAACTAACTATGACATAATTAGAAACAGAGACCTCCTGCTTCTCCGATTCATATCAAACCGTCTCCACCTCGTGTTCTACTGTCCATTCACCATCCTCAAGGCGCTTCATGGCGAGGATTGCGATACGAGGGCATAGCCACTACTACTGGAGACAATCATTTCATTAAAATTCACGGGAAAATATGAAACACAGGTCAGGCCTATCCTAGACCTGTATAAACTGGACTATCCTTGCAAGAAAGCGGCCAAAGCAGCCCCCATATATCCTGGAGACTTCATATCGGTTTGACGAGCTTCTCGACTTCAGAGAGCATACAAACTGTCAACTGGCATAAGGCCTTTGATTATCACAAAACTACTTTTCTAGCTGGCAATATATCCGTCTGGTTGCAGGCCAGTCAGTGCTATTCAATGGGGCCTTGCAACTTACGAACCTGCGCAATTGCTTTGAAAACCCGAAAACTTCTCGTATCCAGAACAGCGGGATCATGGATGACTTTCGTGTTATAAATATAGCACTTGGGCCTTGGTAGATACCCGAGAGTGTTCGTTCAGGAAATGGCGCGTGCTCTATTTCCCGCAATGGAACGAACAGAATATAAAATGGCTCACCTTGCACTTGAGCCTTGGATCTGTAGAACCAATTCTGATTGACTTTCACCAAGGATCAAGTCGCCATGGCTAAGAGCTGGTACATATATTTCCTTACTGCGCTGCACGTCCTTGCTGCAGTGCTCGCGCAGCCCGTCGCAGATCGTGCGGCCGATTACCACGTCGCAGTGGTCGACCAAAACTCAAAGACCGTTCGGGTCTTCCCACGCAACGATCAAAAATGGAACGACGAAGCCATTTTCTGGAGCTTCACTGCCGATACCGGCTTTTTTAACCGGGCATGGAATAATCTCTCAGGTGTCAAGATCCGCAAGGTTGTTAAACATGGCTGGATCGCTCTCGTCACTGCCTCGGGGGGAAAGGCTGGAATCGTTAATATCACCAAGGAGAAACGGAAGGTCGGCCTGGACGACGTCATGTGGCAGGCAACACCGGGAGACAATCCACATTCTATCGAGATCGTTCCGAAAAATGGAGCGATTGTCGTGGCCAGCTCGACGCCAGGGAAGCTAACTCTGTATGTCCCTACATCAACGGATATCGACGATTACAGCAAGATCAAGCATGCGGAGGACTACCCACTGAAAGGCGCACACGGTGTTCTGTGGGATCCTAACGGCGGAACATCCGTCGACGATGGCATCCTCTGGGCTCTGGGAGACGACTTTGTATATAAATACAAAGTCACTGGATCCCTTAAAGACACTCGCCTGAAAGAAGCTGGCAAGTACAAATTGCCGAAGGGCGGCTTGGGCCACGATCTTCAGCCAGACTATACCAATAAGAAAACACTTCTCATAACAGATTCATACGCTGCATATGCGTTTGATACCACGGCCGGCAAGTTTACGATTTTGAAGGAGATGAGAAAGCTGAAGAGCCTGGCGAGACATCCTAATGGGGAGTATATGTGGATTGAGGGCGCGAAAGACGAGCTGGGACAATATGTTAGCTGGGGAGAGAAGGTGGGGAGTCAGAAAGATTCCAGGGGCTGGAGCGATGCGAAGTTCTACAAAGCCAGGATTTACAGCCCAAATTACGAGTGAAGCTTTGATGTTGTCATACTGTGTATGAAGAAAGCATAGCAGAGGGGGTTTATGAGTATTGAGGATAGTCATTCATGTTACAACGACTTTTTACTCAGGCTTCTTTTCCTCTGTGCTATGTGGTACATGTTCCCAATTACATCACACATAACTCGACGCAGAGTCACCCCACCTGACCAGAAATTGGGAATCAAATCCAAAGAGACAAGCGAAGGCGATGGAAATGAAAACGCAGCGACATTGAGTCTCTTGGTACATAAAAGGAGAATAGCATGCAAGAGGCACAACCCAAAGCCAGATAGGATGGCAAGGGAAGGAACAAAGATACTCAAGAGAGGATATAGAAAGGAAGCAGATGAGTATCAAGGCTGGAAAACATCACCGCTCAAAAGATGACAGAAACCAAATTAACAAGTTCCTTTTTAGATTTCCAGCCGCCGACAGGCAAATATGCGAAATACATCTCCACGGCTCCCAAATCCGATGAGCTGCAGCGACGCATCAACCGGATCAATTAACCACAACACTTGGTTTCTCCTCAACCCACGGCAATCCCAAGTAGCTCCAGGGTCTAGTCTGATAAATTGCCGACTCGACTGGCACAGCAATTCCCCATGGTAGCGAGCAAAGAGCTCCATCACCGCATCGTTCGCAAGCTCAACCCTGGGATACGATTCATCGATTTCCAAGTTTAGCCTGCTGAGCGCGGTAATTATGGAGGTATCAGAGACAACGACATCGAACAACGGGCTTTCTGGTGTTGACGCTGGGACACGGTTTATGACCGATGAGTCCGGCTCTGCGTCGGCGGTGAGGCCTGTGGAAAGAACTCGTGGAGTTGTGCTCGAGGAGGTGATGATGGCGTTGTTGATGCTGCAGAATAGGTCTTCGATATCCGGAGTTTCGAGGCGGAGGTAGTGCTCGTTTAAGGCTTGAAGGATTTCTCCGGGAAATTGGGATATCCGGTTTCGATGTCGAGTGATGAGGAATGATGCGGGGCTCGGACTGGTGCTCCGAGAAACTGGTGGGCTGGGATCAGCATGGGGCATGGAGACAGAAGAAGACGCCCCGGGAGAAGTCGAAAGGCTTGTGTCCATTGAGATACTCAAAAATTGAATCCTTCTGGATGTATGCGTGATGGATCACCGTTGTTCAGATGAGAAGGAACGAAGATGGAGGAATGCACAGTCCAGTCCATCTTCGTATACATTTTGTTCCTGCTATCCTTATGCGGGCTGGGCGCCTACAGGCCGGCGGTTGTGACAATGATTTGGACGTCGCACTATTTATCATACTGATGAAGTGCTATAAATGTGGTAACAGGGTGAGAATTAAGGGATGGAGGTTGCGAGGTTGCCAAACTTCGTACCGACCACAATTCCCAGCATGGTTATTCCGGATTACTGCCCCTAAACTGGAGGCTTGCAATGTCGGGGGTAGCCAGTTATTGGAAAGACTATGTCATCCAAATCACCTTGATATGATTTGGTCGTGGTGACAATATGCCGTCATCTCCCAATTGCAAGTGTTGGGAATATCTCAAATCCAATACACAGTCATTTCTCGTTTTCCCTTCCTTCATATTGTCTATCCATTAGCATTACTTCCATCAATTTCTTCATTTTTATTCATCGAGGTTCTCGAGAGCGACATTTTTCTGCTCCGTTTCCAATAATGCTGCTTGCGCTCAAGCATCCGCGACGCACCATGGACCACTTATCGCCCATTAGAAATGGTACCAGAGAAGAGACCAACACTCTGCATGGTATGTTTGCCTCGTCTATTCTCACTCGAAGGAGATACCAGAAGTGGCGGACTGGTCAAGTCCTATTCATACTAACCTTCAGTCCCAGACTACGATGCTACTCTTGACGACCTCGCAGAAAAACTCAGCAACCGGCTCATAGACTCCAGCCGCGAGCTGCACGATTTGAGAATGATGGTTGAACAGCAACACGATCCTTTATCTGGCCGGCTCAACAGCGATGACGAGTTGCTGAAACTGGCAGCGGAGTGGGAAAAGAGACTCGAGGAGGTTGCTGCGGAGGTCCGCCAGGATTCTGCACAGTTATATATGATCGAAATGGAGCGACAACGCTTCGAGCGCAGGTATGCCGTGATTGAAGAGAAGTTGCAGAATCTTCATGGAGGGTTTTGGGCGAGGCTATTAGGGCCTGTAAGGAACCAAACCGCTGCAAGTCTAGTTTATTGCATATGCAGTTGCTAATCATGATAGGTGTTACTTCCCCTCGTCATACTGATCCTCAGCTTTTTCACCTGAGGAGGGGAAGTTTCGTTGGACTAGTTAAGGGGAGGTGGAGTTCTGGCTAGAGCTTGCCCCTGCTCCTCTGGTGCCAAACACTCGACAGCTATTGATATCGAGAAATTGTCAAATCTCCTTCAGTGTTCTATATACCAACTCGCACTCCTGCTCCACAGCCTAGAACACAAGTTCAAGGTCATTACGATCTTTACCCATCCTTTCTTTTTCTCACAGATGAAGCTGAATATGCCATCGACACATAAGGCAAAGTTCTATGTCTTAGAGCCTTGATGGAAAGTTCCTTATTCTTCACGCTAGGCCACATATGCACTGTACATACTTGCATAGCCAGGATATAAATATTAATAGAGAATTCTTATCTGTCATACAAAACATCTTCTCCTCCCTAGTTTTTTTAACCAGTCTAGACCACTTACTTATCAGCCCTAACACCAATATCAAAACCACCGAGTTTCTTAACATCTGTTTTCCCCCATCCAACGAATTTCATCATCGATCAAATCCCACCATGCTCCGCCAAACACGCCACCTTATCCCCCTCCGAGGCACGAACGCAAGCACCCAGCTCCGCATGCCACGACGCCGTCTCCTCAGCGCAACTCTCCCAGCTCGTACGCCAAACCCTCCATCTCCCCCCTCCCCAACAACCCACCACCACCACCACCCGCCCTTCTCCACCGCCCTCTTCTCCCGCCTCGACAAACTCCACAGCAAACTCACAACCCTCCACCTCGACCTCCACCACCACCACCAGACCCTCCACACCCAACTCCACACCCTCAACACCCAATTCCCCACCCACCTCGCCAATCTAGAAACGAAACTCGACCACATAACCACGCAATTCGGCCAGAATCCCGCCCGGATATCAAGCATCGAAGCGAAACTAGACAAACTCGCCACGGAATCGAGCGCGAGCGTGAAGATTCTGAAATACTATGATACTCTCTTCACGAGAGTCTGCTACGGGGTAAGTTCTGGGCTCAGGCGCGCCCCGTTTTTGGACTCTATTGTG